CCAACAGTGCTGCCCCTCAGTGCCCAACAGTGCTGCCCATCAGTGACCAACAGTGCTGCCCAGCAGTGCTGCCAATCTGTGCCAGTCAGTGCCACAAGTCAGTGCTGCCAGTCAGTGCCCTTCAGTACTACCTATTAGTGCCCATCATTGCTGCCTATCAGTGCCACATATCAATGCAGCAGCATCAGTGCCTCCTCATCAATGCCAACCAGTGCTGCCTCATCAGTACTGCCTATCAGTGTCATCTCATCACTGCCCATCAGTACTGCCTATCAGTGCCCATCAGTGCCACCTCATCAGTAGTACAGCATCATCAGTGCCTCCTCATCAACGCCCACCAGTGCCACCTCATCAGTACTGCCTATCAGTGTCGTTTCATCAGTGTCCATCAGTGCTGCCTATCAGTGCTGCCTATCAGTGCAGCCTCATAAATGCACATCAGTGATAGAGAAAATTACCTGTTTGCAAAATGTTATAATAGAAACAAAGAAAACCTTTTTTTTAAAAAATTTTTGCTCTTTTTTCATTTATAGTGAAAAAAATAAAACCTCCAGCGGTGATTAAATACCACGAAAAGAAATCTCTATCTGTGTGAAAAAAATGATACAAATGTCATATGGGTACAGTGTTGCATGACCGTGCAATCGTCAAAGTGTGAGAGTGCTGAAAGCTGGAAATTGGCCTGGGCAGGAAGGGGGTGAAAGTGCCCGGTAGGCGAGGGGTTACAGAAGCCAGGGACTGGTTCATACTCCACCTATAACTAAATATCATGTTTGGGTGGACTGGCCCTTTAATCTTCAGGGCTGCCCTTCATTCCCCAGGAGGGGTCTCTTACGTGAAGACGACATATAAAGGCCATCAAGAGGTGGACATGGAGACCATTCCTGAGAGATGGCGGACACCTGGGACTGCGACTTGGCCGGATATTTGCCTAGAAATACACAGGGAGAGGCGGCCGGTCCATACACTCCGCAGATTCATTTCCCTGCCGGCTGAGGAGCTTGGCTGCACAATAGAGGAATACAAATACAGAATTACCAGCAGCTGTCCTATCCACACACGTGTCACCGGCCTTCTATCCACGCACGTGTCACCGGCCTTCTATCCACGCACGTGTCACCGGCCTTCTATCCACGCACGTGTCACCGGCCTTCTATCCACGCACGTGTCACCGGCCTTCTATCCACGCACGTGTCACCGGCCTTCTATCCACGCACGTGTCACCGGCCTTCTATCCACGCACGTGTCACCGGCCTTCTATCCACGCACGTGTCACCGGCCTTCTATCCACGCACGTGTCACCGGCCTTCTATCCACGCACGTACAGCCTTCTATCCACGCACGTGTCACCGGCCTTCTATCCACGCACGTGTCACCGGCCTTCTATCCACGCACGTGTCACCGGCCTTCTATCTACGCACGTGTCACCGGCCTTCTATCTACGCACGTGTCACCCGCCTTCTATCCACGCACGTGTCACCGGCCTTCTATCCACACACGTGGGGTCACCGGCCTTCTATCCACGCACGTGTCACCGGCCTTCTATCCATGCACGTGTCACTCGGCCTTCTATCCACACACGTGTCACCGGCCTTCTATCCACACACGTGTCACCGGCCTCTGTGTCCAACATCTCATCCAGACGTGGCCTATAGACCTTCCACTTCATCTCTGCCTAGAAATAAAAGCTTGGAAAGAGTTTACCCAACTTCTCCAGATTTAAAAAGAAATGTTCTGCTTATTTATCAAACTCTCCTCTCCTGAAATACTCTGCACTGCTGGAGGACTCCGCTCCTTCCTCTATAACTCTCCTCTCCTGAAATACTCTGCGCTGCTGGAGGACTCCGCTCCTTCCTCTATAACTCTCCTCTCCTGAAATACTCTGCGCTGCTGGAGGACCCTCCGCTCCTTCCTCTATAACTCTCCTCTCCTGAAATACTCTGCGCTGCTGGAGGACTCCGCTCCTTCCTCTGTAACTCTCCTCTCCTGAAATACTCTGCACTGCTGGAGGACTCCGCTCCTTCCTCTGTAACTCTCCTCTCCTGAAATACTCTGCACTGCTGGAGGACTCCGCTCCTTCCTCTGTAACTCTCCTCTCCTGAAATACTCTGCACTGCTGGAGGACTCCGCTCCTTCCTCTATAACTCTCCTCTCCTGAAATACTCTGCGCTGCTGGAGGACTCCGCTCCTTCCTCTATAACTCTCCTCTCCTGAAATACTCTGCGCTGCTGGAGGACTCCTCTCCTTCCTCTATAACTCTCCTCTCCTGAAATACTCTGCGCTGCTGGAGGACTCCTCTCCTTCCTCTATAACTCTCCTCTCCTGAAATACTCTGCGCTGCTGGAGGACTCCGCTCCTTCCTCTATAACTCTCCTCTCCTGAAATACTCTGCGCTGCTGGAGGACTCCTCTCCTTCCTCTATAACTCTCCTCTCCTGAAATACTCTGCGCTGCCGGAGGACTCCGCTCCTTCCTCTATAACTCTCCTCTCCTGAAATACTCTGCGCTGCTGGAGGACTCCGCTCCTTCCTCTATAACTCTTCTCTCCTGAAATACTCTGCGCTGCTGGAGGACTCCGCTCCTTCCTCTATAACTCTCCTCTCCTGAAATACTCTGCACTGCTGGAGGACTCCGCTCCTTCCTCTATAACTCTCCTCTCCTGAAATACTCTGCTCTGCTGAGGAGTGGAAATTACTATTATGTCTCTAGCACTCCCCCGAAGGTAAATGATCAGCCAGTCCATATGTCCGGAGGGTTCCAGGATTGCTGACAACCTCCTGATGAGTCAGTTCTCCTTTTCTTGTGGTCGGGACGTCTCTGATTTGTGTTCTCGGTGTATTTCCCCTTTCTGGGTTGTAATAACAGGAGGACTTTGGCCTGACTTCCCCTATTGATATGTGAATGTTTGCTGGAGGTAGGTACCTGGACCAGCCAACCTCCCCATGTGACTCATCACCATCCCAGACAGACAGCGACTGCGCCCCATACCCCCCCCCCCCATAGAAGAAAGGAGTGTGACTTCCATGTCAGGTCATGTGACTGAAATTACCTGGGGAGGGGGGCCTGGGACATTTAGGATTTATTATTATTATTATTATTATTATTAGTATTATACAGGATTTATGGCGCCAACAGTTTGCTCAGCGCTTTACAATATAACGGGAGACAATACAGCAACAATACAGTTCAATACAAGAGGGATAGGAGGGCCCTGACCCTGGGAGCTTACAATCTAGGAGGGAGGGGCTAGTGGTACAAAAGGTAGTAACTGTGGGGGATGGACTGGTAGGAAGAGTAGAAGATTCCAGTATTAGCTGAGGGCAGGATAAGCTTCCCTGAAGAGATAGGTTTTCAGAGATCGCCTAAAAGTGAGCAGAGTAGGTGATTGATAAATTGGGGTAGAGAGTTCCAGAGGATGGGGGAAGCTCTGGAGATGAGCATGGGAGGAGGAGATAAGGGAGCTAGAGAGCTAGAGAGCAAGAGGACGGCTTGGGTGATATTTGGAGACAAGATTGGTGATGTAATTTGGGGCGGAGTTATAAATGGCTTTATATGTTATTGTTAATGTTTTGAATTTTATCCGTTGGGCAATGGGAAGCCAGTGGAGGGATTGGCAGAGAGGGGTGGAGGACACTGAGTGGAGGCCAGTGGAGGGATTGGCAGAGAGGGATGGAGGACACTGAATGGAGGCCAGTGGAGGGATTGGCAGAGGGGGTGGAGGACACTGAATGGAGGCCAGTGGAGGGATTGGCAGAGAGGGGTGGAGGACACTGAGTGGAGGCCAGTGGAGGGATTGGCAGAGAGGGGTGGAGGACACTGAATGGAGGCCAGTGGAGGGATTGGCAGAGAGGGGTGGAGGACACTGAGTGGAGGCCAGTGGAGGGATTGGCAGAGAGGGGTGGAGGACACCGAGTGGAGGCCAGTGGAGGGATTGGCAGAGAGGGGTGGAGGAGACTGAATGGAGGCCAGTGGAGGGATTGGCAGAGAGGAGTGGAGGACACTGAGTGGAGGCCAGTGGAGGGATTGGCAGAGAGGGGTGGAGGACACTGAATGGAGGCCAGTGGGGGGATGGCAGAGAGGGGTGGAGGACACTGAATGGAGGCCAGTGGAGGGATTGGCAGAGAGGGGTGGAGGACACCGAGTGGAGGCCAGTGGAGGGATTGGCAGAGAGAGGTGGAGGACACTGAGTGGGGGTCAGTGAATGGATTGGCAGAGAGGGGTGGAGGACACTGAGTGGGGGCCAGTGGAGGGATTGGCAGAGAGGGGTGGAGGACACTGAATGGGGGCCAGTGGAGGGATTGGCAGAGAGGGGTGGAGGACACTGAGTGGAGGCCAGTGGGGGGATTGGCAGAGAGGGGTGGGAGGACACTGAATGGAGGCCAGTGGAGGGATTGGCAGAGAGGGGTGGAGGACACTGAGTGGAGGCCAGTGAGGGATTGGCAGAGAGGGGTGGAGGACACTGAGTGGGGGTCAGTGGAGGGATTGGCAGAGAGGGGTGGAGGACACTGAATGGGGGCCAGTGGAGGGATTGGCAGAGAGGGGTGGAGGACACTGAGTGGAGGCCAGTGGAGGGATTGGCAGAGAGGGGTGGAGGACACTGAATGGAGGCCAGTGGAGGGATTGGCAGAGAGGGGTGGAGGACACTGAGTGGAGGCCAGTGGAGGGATTGGCAGAGAGGGGTGGAGGACACTGAATGGAGGCCAGTGGAGGGATTGGCAGAGAGGGTGGAGGACACTGAATGGAGGCCAGTGGAGAGGGGGTGGGGATTGGCAGAGGGATTGGGGGTGGAGGACACTGAGTGGAGGCCAGTGGAGGGATTGGCAGAGAGGGGTGGAGGACACTGAATGGAGGCCAGTGGAGGGATTGGCAGAGAGGGGTGGAGGACACTGAGTGGGGGTCAGTGGAGGGATTGGCAGAGAGGGGTGAGGACACTGAGTGGGGGCCAGTGGAGGGATTGGCAGAGAGGGGGTGGAGAACACTGAGTGGTGGTCAGTGGAGGGATTGGCAGAGAGGGGTGGAGGACACTGAATGGAGGCCAGTGGAGGGATTGGCAGAGAGGGGTGGAGGACACTGAGTGGAGGCCAGTGGAGGGATTGGCAGAGAGGGGTGGAGGACACTGAGACACTGGAGGCCAGTGGAGGGATTGGCAGAGAGGGGTGGAGGACACTGATGGAGGCCAGTGGGGGGATTGGCAGAGAGGAGTGGAGGACACTGAATGGGGCCAGTGGAGGGATTGGCAGAGAGGGGTGGAGGACACTGAGGTGGAGGCCAGTGGAGGGATTGGCAGAGAGGAGTGGAGGACACTGAATGGAGGCCAGTGGAGGGATTGGCAGAGAGGGGTGGAGGACACTGAATGGAGGCCAGTGGGGGGATTGGCAGAGAGGGGTGGAGGACACTGAATGGAGGCCAGTGGAGGGATTGGCAGAGAGAGGTGGAGGACACTGAGTGGAGGCCAGTGGAGGGATTGGCAGAGAGGGGTGGAGGACACTGAATGGAGGCCAGTGGAGGCCAGTGGAGGGATTGGCAGAGAGGGGTGGAGGACACTGAGTGGAGGCCAGTGGAGGGATTGGCAGAGAGGGGTGGAGGACACTGAATGGAGGCCAGTGGGGGGATTGGCAGAGAGAGGTGGAGGGCACTGAATGGGGCCAGTGGAGGGATTGGCAGAGAGGGGTGGAGGACACTGAGTGGGGGTCAGTGGAGGGATTGGCAGAGAGGGGTGGAGGACACTGAATGGGGGCCAGTGGAGGGATTGGCAGAGAGGGGTGGAGGACACTGAGTGGAGGCCAGTGGAGGGATTGGCAGAGAGGGGTGGAGGAGACTGAATGGAGGCCAGTGGAGGGATTGGCAGAGAGGGGTGGAGGACACTGAATGGAGGCCAGTGGAGGGATTGGCAGAGAGGGGTGGAGGACACCGAGTGGAGGCCAGTGGAGGGATTGACAGAGAGGGGTGGAGGACACTGAGTGGAGGCCAGTGGAGGGATTGGCAGAGAGGGAACGGTTGGTAAGGTGAATGAACTGTCATGGATGTCAGCCAGTGGCAAATGTAACAAATGGAGGTGGACTATGGGCTATGCAGTGCACAGGATCACAATTCACATGCACTGCTTCTTCCAAACAAACAGAAACGAGTGGGAAAGGAGAGGTTCGGGAGTTCATGGAGGAGGTTACATGGAGGCAGAAAACACAGTAACAAATTATTCCATGAAAAATAGATGACAGGCCATATGTATATAAACGTGACGGTTTTCAAGTGGTATACCGGGGTTATAGCTGAATAAATCAGCCAAAATCCCAGTAATTTTTTTTTTTCCGCCGACGGCCGGCTTTCCATTGAAATTGGTCCTAGCGACTTTTCAGCCACTGGATTGCTTTCCATGACATCAGAAGGGGGCGTTCCCTACCCCCTACCGCCGCTCGCTGGTGGTTCGTGGGCTTACAGTTAAAACCGCGACGGTGCACCCGGCTGAAGATGGAGGTGAGAGACTCTATGGTCCTTGATCGCCTCTATCATGATGGAGGACCGAAGCGACGTCATGACGTCACATCCGGTCGGCAGCAGATGTAAACTTTTTTTCCTTTTTAAAAGCAAAAGTTCAATTTTGCTTTATTTTTTTTTTTTAATCTTTTGCTTTTAAAAGTATAGAAGAGACCTCAAATCTCTTCTTAAAGAGGACCTATTATGTATATTTCTAACACAAGGGATTTAACCCCTTCATGCCGGCGCCTCCTGGCCCTTTAATAGTTTTAGAAGCCAGGAGGCGGGCCAGGGCTTAGGATCATGTGCGTCATGGCGGTCACATGATCGGGAAAGGTCCCAATCGAAAGAGGAGATCGGGACCTTTCCGTGACTACTGGACATGTGTGCTGGGAGCGTTCAGGGCGCGCGCTCTCAGCACATATGTCCTTTTTTTAATAGAATGCAAATGTGCTGCCGCTCGGCGTCTAGGCCCGGACACCGGGAGGCCGCACATTTGTGTTTGGCCGGCGTGAAGAGGTTAAAAAAAAAATAAAGGAACAGTGTAAAAATAAATAAGTAAATGGAAAAAACATTTTTAAAGCGCCCCCATCTCTCCATGCTCACGTGCAGAAAGGAACGCATACGTAAATCGGACACGCATATGTAAACGATGTTGGCAGCACACATGTGAGGTATCGCCGCGAAACGTTAGAGCGAGAGTAATAATTCCAGCACTGGACCTCCTCTGTAACTCTCAACAGGTAACCTGTAGAAATTTTTAAACCATTGCCTATGGAAATTTTTAAGTAACCGTAGTTTGTCGCCATTCCACAAGCGTACGCAATTTATAGCGTGACACATTAGGCATCTATTTGCTCGCTGTAACATCCTCTTTCATACGTTACAAAAAAATTGGGGTATATGTTGTGTTTTTGGTTTTTTTTTAAAGGTCGCTAAAGTGTATTTTTTCCAAAAAAATTGCATTTGAAAAACACCGCTGCTCAGATACCAAGTGACATAAAAAATTGCAACGATCGCAATTTCATTTTCTAGGGTCTTTACTAAAAAAAATATATATTTCATGTTTGAGGGACATACAGTGGGGCAAAAAAGTATTTAGTCAGCCACCAATTGTGCAAGTTCTCCCACTTACAAAGATGAGAGAGGCCTGTAATTGGCATCATAGGTAGACCTCAACTATGAGAGACAAAATGAGAAAACAAATCCAGACAATCACATTGGCTGATTTGGAAAGAATTTATTTGCAAATTATGGTGGAAAATAAGTATTTGGTGAATATGAAAAGTTCATCTCAATACTTTGTTATATATCCTTTGTTGGCAATGACAGAGGTCAGACGTTTCCTGTAAGTCTTCACAAGGTTGGCACACACTGTTGCTGGTATGTTGGCCCATCCTCCATGCAGATCTCCTCTAGAGCAGTGATGTTTTGGGGCTGTCGCTGGGCAACACCGACTTTCAACTCCCTCCAAAGGTTTTCTATGGGGTTGAGATCTGGAGACTGGCTAGGCCACTCCAGGACCTTGAAATGCTTCTTACGAAGCCACTCCTTCGTTGCCCGGGCGGTAAGTTTGGGATCATTGTCATGTTGGAAGACCCAGCCACGTTTCATCTTCAATGCCCTTGCTGATGGAAGGAGGTTTGAACTCAAAATCTCACGATACATGGCCCCATTCATTCTGCCCTGTACATGGATCAGTCGTCCTGGTCCCTTTGCGGAGAAACAGCCCCAAAGCATGATGTTGCCACCCCCATGCTTCACAGTAGGTATGGTGTTCTTTGGATGCAACTCAGCATTTTCTCTCCTCCAAACACGACGAGTTGTGTTTCTACCAAACAGTTCAATTTTGGTTTCATCTGACCATATGACATTCTCCCAATCCTCTTCTGGATCATCCAAATGCTCTCTAGCAAACTTCAGACGGGCCCGGACATGTACTGGCTTAAGCAGGGGGACACGTCTGGCACTGCAGGATCTGAGTCCCTGGCGGCGTAGTGTGTTACTGATGGTAGCCTTTGTTACGTTGGTCCCAGCTCTCTGCGGGTCATTCACTAGCTCCCCCCCCTTGTGGTCCTGGGATTTTTGCTCACCGTTCTTGTGATCATTTTGACCCCACGGGGTGAGATCTTGCGTGGAGCCCCAGATCGAGGGAGATTATCAGTGGTCTTGTATGTCTTCCATTTTCTAATTATTGCTCCCACAGTTGATTTGTTCACACCAAGCTGCTTGCCTATTGTAGATTCAGTCTTCCTAGCCTGGTGCAGGTCTACAATTTTGTTTCTGGTGTCCTTCGACAGCTCTTTGGTCTTCACCATAGTGGAGTTTGGAGTGTGACTGTTTGAGGTTGTGGACAGGTGTCTTTTATACTGATAACAAGTTCAAACAGGTGCCATTGATACAGGTAATGAGTGCAGGACAGAGGGGCCTCTTAAAGAAGAAGGTACAGGTCTGTGAGAGCCAGAAATCTTGCTTGTTTGTAGGTGACCAAATACTTATTTTCCATCATAATTTGCAAATAAATTCTTTCCAGATCAGCCAATGTGATTGTCTGGATTTGTTTTCTCATTTTGCCTCTCATAGTTGAGGTCTACCTATGATGCCAATTACAGGCCTCTCTCATCTTTTTAAGTGGGAGAACTTGCACAATTGGTGGTGACTAAATACTTTTTTGCCCCACTGTATATATAGATAGATATAGTTAGATATATATTTCTAACAAAAATACAGATTTAAGGCCAGTTCTCATACATGCGTTTCAGTTGCTTTTTTTCTGCATCCAAAACACACAGAAAGTAGGTTCTATGGTTGTCAATGTCATAGTTCACACAGTGCTTGCAGTTCCAGTGCGTTCAGGAGGCAGAAAGAAAAGTAGAACAGGCTGCATTTTTTTCTGCACAGAACTGTACTGGAACGTGGTAAAACGCACCAAATACGCACTGGAACGCACATGTCCCTATTTAAATTGAAGAAAAAAGAGAGGGGAAAAAATGAACTGGAACACGTCAAAAAAGTATTAAAAATGCACCGGAATGCTTCAAAAATGTGTCAAAAACGTGTAAAAACTCTGCGTTTCTGGACTGCGTTTCTGCAGTGTAAACCGGCCCTTAAACTTGTAGACAAAACATCCCAGAAAATGCTTATGCAGGCCATAGATGGTTCGATTATCGGCCGAATTTTTGTCCGAAAAACGAAACATCGTTCATTCTGTAAACCGATGGTGCCACCAATGATTGCAAAAATCTTCCGTTTTTCACAAATTTTCCAGCATGGCCGATAAACAAAATGAGGAGGAACCACAAAAATCGGCTAATACCATTGGCCCATTAACAGTGCGGACGAAAAATCGGCTGATAACCGAACCGTCTATGGCCTGCATTAGTCTTCGAGTACCTGAATCTGACCCGGTATCAGCCCTTTGCAGTCCCTGTACAGCAGGGCTGGAGTGTGAGGGGAAGAAGCAGCATAAGGAGCCAATCATGTGCTGCCCGATGCATGCTGATAGAAGGAGAGAGCAGAGTGACAGTATTATTATTATTATTATATTATTATACAGGATTTATATGGCGCCAACAGTTTGCTCAGTGCTTTACAATATAACAGGAGACAATACAGTTCAATACAAGAGGGATAGGAGGGCCCTGATCCTCGGAGCTTACAATCTAGGAGGGAGGGGCTAGTGGTACAAAAGGTAGTAAATGTGGGGGATGGACTGGTAGGAAGAGTAGAAGAATCCATTATTAGCTGAGGGAAGGAAAGGATAGGACAGAAGGATGAGATCATCACTGTGCTGCTTCTCCTTTCACTGTCCAGTCATAGTGTGGGAAATGGGGAGTCCAGGACAAACTGGGCTCAGAGGAAGTGGGCTGAATGATGCTGGCCAACAAACCGAAAGGAAAAAAGCACTGAGGGGGATATCTCTGGATTGTAGGTGAATATTGATTATTATTTTTGCTTTTATTGAACTATTGATTTTTTATCTTGCTAGTTTTAGTTGGTGTTCTAGGTGGCAAATGGCAGAAAATCCATTACCAGTAGGGGGTGCTGATTGCCCCATTGGGATCTGTATGAGCTGTCATCCTCATCCTGGGCTCATCAGTGCAGGACAGACAGTGAAGGGGTCGGCACAGAGAGGAGATGTGACGGCTCTCCCCACTGTCTCTGCATTGTCTATTTCTGGTTGTCCCTTTTGTTGGCCGGGCTCTGCAGAAGCTGCTTCCTGTCTCGAGGTCTCTGCGCTCCGCAGCTAGCGGCCCGGCGCCGCTCCCAACTGAAAGAAAGGAAAATGAAGCTCTATATATAGAAGTCCTGGATTGTCACGTTTTCCTGGTACAGGCCGTTCGGTATGAAATCACCTGCGTGCCTCGAATGGATCCAAGGGTTTTGGAACACAAGTACCTATTTATAGCTGGTTAAAGTTTAACCCCTTGTCCACCAACGTACGTTTTATAAACAGCACGGGAGACAAGCGCTTGAAGCCGTGAGCAGGGGCGGACTGAC